CCCCCCCACCTGCCCCTACTGCCTGCCCCCACTGCCTGCCCTGTGGTTACCAGTGGCAATAACTCTACAAGGTACTGCACTAACACACACCTACACTTGTTAACTATTCATTGCATTCCTTACTTCAATTATCATGATTTATGGCGTGCATTGTCTAGTTATGGTCATTGGTTTGAATAAGAGATTCTGTTGCTGTTTGGCAAGTATTTGTCTGTCTAGTTAACGGTCATATATTGATATGTGATTGTCTAGTAACCTACTTTAGAGTACAGGGCAAATTTGTTAATTATAGGTCCGCAGTAATCCAGACGAAAACTTCTTCGATACCCATATTCAGAAAACTCTTTATTTAAGAAAGGGAAAATTTGTGATTTCATTTAAATTCAGTTTTTGTCCAAACAAAAGCCAGTTGTATTGTGTTGGCCAGTAGTTCAGAAGGCAACTGTGTCTGATAATGTTTGAATCCCGGTGTGTTAATAGACTGCTTCCTGGTTGTATTTTGAAATTAAAGCCAGGTACAACTTGTGTGGGATCTCCAAATGGGGCCTTAAAATATGTTTATTTTGGTGCAGCCCCTGGTTGAAATTATCGCTTGCTTACTGACACATCTGATTGAAAGTGTATTTGTTGAAAACAGTGTAGGAGCAGTTGTAAAAATATCCTCATATAAAAGTACTGGGGTTGACTTCAACCTTTATATTTTCCCTTTTTAAAAAAAAAAACTAACACAAAAAAGTGGAAGTGTTATGACGTGATGGGCTTGGCTGAGACCAGGCAGTAGGTACTCTACAGTACATCTCCCCATCAGCCGCGCGTGTATTTACACCAACAACATTTTATACAAAATCAATAATACATCAAGTACAATTTTAAGATAAAACCCTGTGAAAGGAAATATAATGTCAGCAGCTGAATACATAGTATGGCTGATTATTTTTCCAGGTCATCAGCTCCCCTCATCTGGGCTTGTTTATTTCTTCAACAGAGAGCTGGTGCAGGCTAGCTATTTATACCACGGCTTGTTTACACCATGTTGGGGTGGCCTACCTATTTGTTTACACAGTTGTTAGTCATTCAAGAGCGGTTGTTTACCAGGCTTGTTTACAAAAGCTTCGTTTTCCATACACATTGGCTATTAGCATCTGACAGGGCCTTTCCTGTGTATATCTTGTAAACATTTCAACTTATAAACAAAATCCCGCATTGTTTTCACTCTGGAAACATTTGCACACACAGGTTGTGTGCTTGCGGCCAGCCTGGCCATCTCTCGTCTGTCAGGCTGTCGGTAATGATCCTGGCCATGGATTATAAAACCTTTGTGCCAAGTGTTAGCAAAAATATACAGCACCCACAAACAGGAAATCTGTAATTTTCTGTTTGTTAACTTTGTGCAGAAGTTATAATTCAATCCAGAGGGCTTTAACACAAACAGATACCAACCTGTGATTAAACACACATTTGCCAATCGGGGAGGGCAGAGGATACACAGCCCAACCTGATGAACAGAATCTCAACACTGGAGCAACTGTGGAAAGCAGAGAGGCTAAATTAGTGTGACTTAATTTTTACAGCTGGAGCAATATATATATATATATATATATATATACATTTCCCAAATAGTGTTGAGTCAGCTTTTTGTTTCAATTATTTATCTAAATTAACACATGGTGTTGGAAGGATTCAAAGGTGAAGGTCATTTGGCAAGGACCATCATGACCTTCATACTATCTAGGTCAGTACGTGGGTCAAGGTGAAGGATGAAGTAAACTTACCCACTGGACTTTAGAAGTCAAATTTATATGAAGGACATCATACAATTCAGTGTGTCAAGGTCAAGGTTATTGGTACACTGATCTTTACATTTGGGAAGACTTTATTGAGTTCAAAGTGCAAAGGTCATGGTCGTAATACACTGGTGAAGGCTATCAGTTAACAGATCAGGCCACTGACTTGTATTTGCTGCCTGGATTACCCGCTACCTCGTCAGAAAGGACTTGTATAGACAATGTCGTCCTCACTATTGATGCAGACCAACAGGAATCTGTTTTGTCCTCCATTGTTCTTGTCTACAAGTAGGCCATTTTTGTTGCCAGGCATGATGTCGCCAGGGGAGATTCAGCAGCTATGGAAGGAGGTGGCTAGTCAATCCGGCTTGGATGATTCAATCATGAAAAATAACATCAATGGTGCTGTGCCGACCTCACTGGGAGGCGGTTTGTCCTCCCTCTCCTTTCCAACCCCGCCCACCAGCTGGGCAACCAATGGCATCACAGAAACCTACCTCAACCAAGGTATAGGAAATACTTGTCTTCGAGGAAACTTTTACATGAACTGATATTTGTGATTGAAAGTGTAATTAACTTACATCCATTATTCCATACAGACAGAGTTGTTTTACCACTATTTATTCAGACATTTGCATATTATAATTGATTCAAGATTAATATGTCGGTATTATTTGATTTTTTTTCTTTCATAAATTTGATACTTGTTTATGAGATTGGTATATTCAGGATCTTTAATAAATATGCATACACAATCTTGTAATGTAAATTGTAGGTGTAAATTATAATTCAAACAATGAATGACTAACTACTGGCATTGATTATGCTAGATTATCTAATTAAATTTTGTCAGTATTACTAGTTTTCTGATATTGACCTTTGAACCTTCTGCATGTTTCAGGCAACTCTTCCCTCGGCCATTCCGCGGTGCAGGTCAAGCAAGAGCAAACCAGCCCGACATCGTCCTATCATGCACTATTCCGACACTGCCTATGTAAATGGCCCGGTTGTGATACACATTGCGAGGATTACATTTCTTTCCTCAAGTGAGTTGCCTCCCTTTTCCTCTCAATTACTAATTAAACTCTTTTGCAAGATTTCTCCAAGCTTCCGAGATTATTTTCAAAGAATCTCAATATGACACTCTGAATTTAAACGGTGAAATCAATTTCAGTGTTTGACTGGAAGATTTTTTATGTTTGTCAGCTGTCTCTTTCAAAGAGTTTCAACCTCCTTAGTGACCCAGTTCAGTGAGAACATCCTTATTGACCCAGTTCAGTGAGAACATCCTTAGTGACCCAGTTCAGTGAGAAACTCCTTAGTGACCCATTCCAGTGAGAACATCCTTAGTGACCCAGTTCAGTGAGAACATCCTTAGTGACCCAGTTCAGTGAGAACATCCTTAGTGACCCAGTTCAGTGACCTTAGCATAAGTCACAAGTTTTATGACATGTCTAGACATTACCAAGACATCAAAATTTTGCTCAGCATGATTATTTTACCATCCTACCAATATTGATTTACTGACATGTTCATTGATTGGATGTAAAGCCTTGAGCAGAAATGAGACCATTGATACAGGTTTAAAGTTGTATTAGCAGTGTTGTAATTGTACTAACCTTGACATTTTGGTTGTTTTAGACATTTGAGTGCTGAGCATATATTAGATGATAGAAGCACAGCCCAAGCTCGTGTCCAAATGCAGGTTGTCAGTCAGCTGGAAATCCAGGTAAGGTCAAGGTCATTGTTTTAAGATTTAAAAATAACTTTTATCCAAAAACAAATTGTCAGCCAGACCCAAATCTAGGTTCATTCAAGATCATTGTGTTAGATTTGAAAAGTCAGTGGAACAAACCTGCTGAGTGATAGTCAATTAAACACAAACAAGTTTTTAGGTCACTGTGCTAGGGTCAAGGTTATCGTATATGGTACAGTGTTGGCTGAGATATGTATGGTCAGGTACACAGCTTCGTTGCTGACCTGTCAGTGTTCTGATTGTGTTAATTCGCTGTCTACAATATCTTAACAAAAAAGTAAAACACAATCTATATTATCTTGCTCAAAAGGTCATTGGGTACATTGGCCTTGTCAACCTCACAAGGAATACTGCGGTAATGTCATGATTTTGTGGCGAAGATGTTGCTGTTTTCCCTTTGGTGTTTTGAGTCAAGACGTGTGATACATGTGATGCATGTGATGTAGGGAAGTCTGATGCTTGTGTCTATTTCATATTATGATATGTATAGAAAGATAGCTGAATCTCCTTTGATGAACATCCTTTGTGACGGGACCTGTTTGAGATACATTTATGTTATCTGAATCTCAATGTGATATCAAAAGAATATTAAATGGAACCAAAAGTTTGTTGGTAAGATTCTGATATGTACTGTCCCCTGCGAAATGATTATGAATAATTCATGAAACTTCATGAACAGTTCATGAAATATTCATGAATAATATTCATGAATGTTCTTGATTTGTTCATGAATATTTTCATGAAATTCATGAACTTAAAACTTCATGAATAATCTTGAGCAAAATATTTCATGAAAATTCATGAATATAAATTCATGAATATTCATGAATATTCATGAATGTAAAATCATGAACTTTCATGAATATAAAATCATGAATATTCATGAATATATGAATTCATGAACATTCATGAAAAATGGCAACAATTCATGAATGTTCATGAATGTTCATGAAGAAAACGTCCCATTTTAAGTTCATGAATTGAAAATGCTTGAAATATTCATGAACATTCATGAACATGTACAAATTACCACATTTCATGAACTTTCATGAAAGTTCATGAAAGTCTAATACCATATGAAAATAAACAATGGAATTCCACTTGGATACCAGAGGAAATACCACTGGATTCCACCAGCAATTTGACCTGGAATTTGTGGCCAAATTGCCCAGTGGATTCCAGTGGTATTTCCACTGAAATACCTAGCCAGTGGTCACTGAAATTCAAATTGGAATCACTTATATGAAGATAACAATAATAATGGACATTCAATAGATTCTGAATTTACAGTTATGACGGTATATATAATCATTCATGCTGTGTTTAAAGTTAGAAATAATGCAAGTAACGTCACAAATATCTTTTAAACATGAAAAAATGACAGTTGAATAACATATATATTTGCAAAAGTTTTTACTGCTACATATTTAGCATTGTTAAATATGAAATATGGATGCATGGTTCACATATGGTCTGTGTGGTTTCAAGAATATGATACAGCTGACATTATTAGGTTAGAGTTGTAGAATACAGGTTTCCCAAAACTCTTGAAATTTATCTGTATTGTATATGCAAATACATGCTGGTTTCCTCGTTGTAGAACTTGCACACTTTTTACCCGGTCTACTTATTGCGAGTCTATCCATTCTCCATGTAACAATTGATGGTGTTTGAAGTTCGAAATGTTCGTCTTCTATTTCGTCTAAATCACTGAGTTTGTTCAAAGCTTTTTAAACAAATTTGGAATTAGGATCGGAAATAATAATTCCTTCACCATTAAGTTTTTGTTTTGTCAGTAACAAACACTTTATTTCCAATTGCAAGCTCCACACTGTACGTTCCAATTATTACTGTTGTCATTTTTCTTGGTAGAACTTCTTTTGCCTAAACTTTTATCTAAAAGATATTCTCTTTTGTTTTGCAAAATTATTCCTAGTATTTGCCATACCTCTTTGTATGTCTGCTTAATTGAGGTGTCACTGATAATACATTTTTAAAAAACCGTTGTTATTTTCCAAGAATATTTGGTGCAAGGGGAGATCTTTTTTTTAAATATTGCCAGTACGTGTCTGCCGCATCTTGCATGAGATTGCTGAAAAACTGTTGTGGTGCTTTAGGTATTCCTCTTTTATCCTTTTTCAATAGCAAATCTTTCGCTGTATATCTTGGGACATTTTACACATCACTGTCATCCTGCAGGCTGGTGTTATCTTCTGAGCTTGTACACATATGCTTTAATTATCATTTGAAGATCTTGCACTAAAGCTTACATCTTCAGGTTCTGGCTGCTAATAATACTGCCTGTTTGTGTCGATGTCAGCAAAGCATGACGACTCTGTATCTGGCACACTTCAAAACGATCCATCAAGCAATCGAATGCATCTCTGATGTCCGCGTCAGTAAATTTTAGGAGTAATCCCATTTTCTGAATAAGAAAAAAGTTAATAATTTTTCATTTATCTTATAAAATACTGTAGAAATTAGTATATAGGCCTACCTGTATTTTCAAAGCCCCTGTACATCAACCTTATTTTTTGGGGGGGGGGGGGGCTTTGATATCACACAAGTGGGACAGTAATTTTTATTGAAATTATATATTATCTATCTGCAAATTTCATACAAGTTAAGAACTATCTCAAGAGGTGCATTCATACTGTAAACTTCAAATTCGGCAGGGTGGGATTGGGTGCACACGCACACACGTTTGGTAATTTGGACGCAGTAACCATTAGCACTCAGTAATATATTCAATTCTGTTTTCTAACGTATAATTTTCAGTATCGATATCATTGCTAAACCCGCACGGTAAATATGACCACGGAATTAGATTAGATTATATAAGTCCGTAATATGACGAATCAGATGAGTTGTTGCCAATGTAAACCGTTGTAACATCATGATCACAGACTGGTTTCACATAATTACACATAGTTTTAACATTTCATACAAGTATTTCATAAAATCCCAATCAGATTCTTACCTTCGGCTTCGATAACCTTCCTGCCGTCTTTCGAAAATTTCTCCATCTCCACTTTCTTCTGAAGCGTATTTGGCGCGGGATTAATTTCGTCCAATCAGAATAATTCCTCTATTCGCTCCGATCCTACCGGAAGTCAATTTATAAAAATATGGCATGGAATGACTTCGGTGCGAAAAAAGACCATGTAACTTTGTCTGTCGATAAACAGGCACACCAATCGATGAAAGGAAGATTAAAACACATATAAAAAGATACGGGCTTCATCTCAATGACGGCGATGCAAACAATGGATAGGAATTGGAGTTTGAACATTCGCCCGACAGCATGTCAACAACTCCAGTTTCCCCTGGATTTTCGCACACTAGGTAAGACTAAGGCCATCATACGTTGATTAAATTAACTTAAGGAGCAATGCCATGTTGTTTCCGTAGTTATTTCAATTAAAAGTTTTTGTAAAAAGTCCAGAGGTGTAGGCGTGTCGCTGTTTTGTGCCACTAAGTCACCGAATATTTCACAGGCGTTCGAAATTCTGACAGTAAATTGACAGACCTAACGTTAAATCTTATAAAGGAATATGGACGATTAAGTCAATTACTATCGATAGTAATACTGTTATCTTGAAATGATAAATATCTCAATTTACTGTCAGAATTTTAAATGCTTGTGATTATTTTCACCGCATGGCGACGGTAAAATCCTGGGTATAATCGAAGTCAAGTATCTCTTCGTTTTTGAGGATTATGTTGTATAATATTGTACCAATTGTGAACTAATACTTGTACTTTACATAACGAAAAAATAAAAAAAAAATCCTGTTCATGATCTATGATCTAAATAAAATGTTTAGATTATTATTTTTACTGCAACTGGCAGTTGGAATTATTCTGAGCAATGTTGACTGAAAATGTTTATGTCCAATGTTAATTACCAGTAAATATACTGTCAACTTACCAGCCATGCCAGTATTTACTGGTAAACATTGGACAACAATTTCTTTAGTAAATATTAATTGCGGCCCTGAGATAATTAGCTATCTTGTCAATTACCTCATATAGAACTCCCTGATCTCAAAGATCTCATCTCGCTTTCAGTTTATAAAAGTGTGAAGGTTCATGATCTTTCCTGTTCAGGTGTCCCGCTTTGTCGGTGACTAACTGATGTCATTAAACAAACTTCAAAATACACTAGTCTCAAATTTAGAAATGGCTTGACATCCTTGAACTACCCGACTATTTACTAAGGATGTTAAACATTGTAAACCAAGCTGGAAACAATTCTGAATTTGGTCTTCAATAAACAATAGTTCCATCCGCAATAAGCCCATGCCTGCAGGTAATAACACCCTCCCCCCAATATCATTATGAATTTCATTATTTTTTAATTCATTTCCCTATATATACATGTAGCGTGTAATATATATATGTCTGCAATTAGACCACCCAATATTTTACACTTGCTCCCTGGGCTTATTGAAGGATAAATATGGTAGATGATAATTAATTGGTAATTGGCGTGTTCAGTATATCATACAAATTATATATTTCAGATCAGATTCAGAGACAAGCTCTGATGATAAATTAAACCAAGATCTAGAGGATATGGCCAATTGGCATGAAGACCAGGGTTCAATATACTCAGAATCTGATCAGGAGATGACAGATCCTGAACAGGATGATTCAGAGGCCAACAGTGATTCCGAAGATGAGAACCAAAAGGAAATGAATTGTGACTGGTGTAGTTCTTATGACTTCACTGTATTCAACTCAGAATTAGCAGTCAACAAAATTCCTAATTCTGATACTATGACTAAACTTGAATGGCTGTGCTATCAGTTTCATAGGTTTGTGTCCCATCCATCAATGAGCAAAGCAGCGTTTACACAAAATCTTCAGGTGCAGAAAATAATACACAATGACAAAGACAATATACAAAACAATAATGAAAATAATGAACTGCCAGGATGACTTTTTACCAGCTGTGCCAATATCTCTGA